CCCCCCCCAAAACCGCACACCGCTGGTTATGATGTATCCCCCTTCCCTTGAACCTGTACGAAAAATCCTCAAACAACTGCAACCCATAGTAGAAAGAGACCCTATTCTTAAAAAGATCTTTCCAGAGCCACCCATCCTAGCCTTCAAACAAGCACCGAACCTCGCCAACCTCATCACCAGAAGCAAACTTCCTCAACCCCAGAACACACCAAAAGGATCCAGACCATGCCAGGACAAGAAATGCAAAACCTGCCCCCACATCTCCCCCACCCCCACTATTACTACACCCCACAACAGAGCTATCAGCATCCCAGGATCTTACAGCTGCACCTCCAGAAATGTAATATACCTCATCCAATGCACCAAATGCCCTGATGGAAAATATGTAGGAGAGACCAAACAACAACCGCGCACCAGAATGAATGCACACCGGAAATCCAGCAAAGACAGAAACACTCAATTACCGGTGGGGGCACATTTCTCACAGGAGGGCCACTCCCTCTCCAATCTCTCAGTCCTGATCCTCAAGGGAAACTTATACAACACTTCCCAGAGACGAGCCTATGAGCTCCATTTCATCAACCTGCTGGATACTAGAGATCATGGACTAAACATAGACGTTGGATTTTTGATACATTATAATCTGCCTGGCAACTGACTCCCCAGCCCAGCCCAGCCCAGCCCCTGGCTTGTTTACTTTTCATTCCATCCAGGAAGAGCACACACCAATTACTGAAGCTTCCTTAGCCTGACGAAGGGTTTTTGAACACGAAAGCTTGCTTAATAACTATTCTCCAACCATTTGGGTTGGTCTAATAAAAGATATCAAATTCACCCAAGGAACCTTGTCTGCCCCTGAGAAGGTATCACTGCTGGAAGTGTCTATGCACATCTTCTGTTGGTTGCTGAACAGCAGCAGAAGACTTACACCACTTGGCAGAGATGGTTTCACACTGTTGGTACAGAACAGAGTTCTGCTGCAAGAGAGAGCTTTGGCTTGGTCTGTGTTCAGCATGATCTAAGCAAGTTATCAGTTTGGGTCCCTTAAGGATGTGGCTGCAGGGACAAAATGATAATGGGTCCCAAACAAACTGTGTGAAAGAAGCATGGAGATGTTCAGTGAAATACATTCTGGGCTTGCTCAGCAGCAGTACTCTAGCTGCCCAGGGAAGTCAACTGGTGAAAACTTAGGCACATATGTCCTTTCACCTAGAACTGGGGAAAACTTAGATATCTATGATCTTTCAGATGTCTAATGGGTAAGATGTGATTTTGTAGATCACACTCCTAGATTTAGGCCTTTAAATTCTGCCTAAGTTCTACTTCAGGAATTAAGTTGTTTTGTGGATCTGTATGTTTACAACGGACTTGTCTGTGGGAGGAAAAAGGAGTCAGATGCATTCACATTTTGGGAGTGTGACTGAAAGGGTTTAGTTTTGTCCCAAGGTGCCTGAGATGCGGTGCAGCAAAGGAACCCAGGGGTGGTGAACTGAGAGTGAGGCATAGTGCCCAAATGCATGGCGTAGTGTGGGGGCCACCTGGGTACCTGGTGCCAAGGGGGAAGGCACAGTGAAGTGGGGATAGTGGCCCTGGAATATGTGATGCAACAGGGGGCATAATGCAGTAGGGGGTCGGGACATGTGGTGCAGGGGAGGTAGAGCATCAGGGCAGACATTGCCATGGAGGGGACCATCAAGGCGTGTGGCCCCAGGGGCCCATAGCTCCAGTGGTGCAAGCCCTGCTAGTGCAGCCCCTGGGGCATGCAGTCCCTGGCCACTTAGCAGTTGGGCAGCCCTGGCTTATACCGTCACAAAGAGCAAATCAGGAAAAAGAACAGTTGGAGAAGACAGATATTTGTCTGAGAAAATCTCTGTGGGAAATCTCTGACCTAGAGGATCTTTCCCAGATGAAAAATATGAAGTTAATGGGACCAAAATTAACTGTGGTTTCAGAGTGCTTCAAACAATGGTTCACAGAATGTATCCATATCTGTTCTGATTCCACTGACCAGCATGCACACTTTAATTATCTGGAGGGGGTTGCCTACAATTACAATACAATCCTAAAACTGTAGTCCTTAAATCAACAGAAAGACTCAGTCTCCATTCTGACATGCTACAGTGAGACAAGGACAACAGAATCTCTTTGATTTTCACCTACATCCCCCAGCTTAAACACCTCAGACACCTACTAATGACCTCCAACCCCTCCTGGAACATGATGACCATCTCAAGGTAGCCATGGGGAACAAACTTGACTTCAACAGGAACTATAGGTCAGCACCAAGTTTTTTTTTAATCTACCTACCACCTTATAGTTATTTAAATTATCAATTTAATTCCTGTAGTTATCTTCAGTTTTATGATGATTTTCTATAAACTTTGTGGAAAGTGCTTTTAGTCCATAACTATACACATTTTACAAGTTGGAATCATATCTTCTAATATGATTTACATTAGCTTGAAAAATACTATACCTAGCATAGCTTTTCCTTCATCTTCCAGCTCAAATCGAAGAGTCTGAAGTTCCTGTTCCATTTCTAATTTGAAACCTTCCATGGCTTGCTTATGTGTTTCTTTCAGTGTCTGAAGTTCTTCTGCATGCCTTTGTTGTAAATGTTCTTCTAGTTCCTATGAAATACAAATAAAGGCGAACTATTTTATGCAGGTTGGCACAACACAAAATATTCAAGAATGATTTAGGAGGCACAAATTATTTTTAAAATGAATTAAAAGAAAAGGCAGGCATAAATTATTAAAACCCTTTCTCTTTATCATTTAGTGAGAGCCACAGACATACTCAAATAATCATATAAAATTTAATATTTATCTTACACATATTTTATCCATTAAACTGTCATCGTAATCTTGTTTCTTCTTGTCCAATCTCTCCTAATAACTGAGTATCAAGAATAAGCTACCAATGTGTACATGAAACAAGTGCTGTTTATTACTTGCAAAGCGTTAGCTCCTTTAGTCAAGATACGAACTAAATAAAGTCCAAAATCAAACAACATTTGCATGAAGGTGGTCTCATTTTTTTTTTAGATGCTATGAAAAAGTGAGTCTCAGGAGGAGAATATGCATGCGGTAATCAAATTAATAATATAAATTGTATCACCAAAAAAAGAAAATAAGAATTAGTGTAAAGAATTTTCTTTGCTAATGCCCTTGGCCTTTTATCTAATCACATTATTCAGTATTCCCCACACAGCTGATTGGAATGCCCGTGTAAACATGCCTTTTGTTCTTGCTCTTTTGTTTCTTCCATGTTCTGAAAAGCAAGGATATGTGCTTCCTGCAAGGACTTGTGCCTCTGTTGATGCTCTTCTTCCAGTTCCTGGAGCTCTTGGGTAAGCCTTTGCCGTTCCTGACTAAACTGGACCTGCAGCTGTTGTAAGGAGCTTTGCGACTGCGAGAGTTGCATCTCCAGATTCTGTTTCAGCAAGGAGATCTAATTCACAGAACAGCAAATATCAGTACATTATAAATACAAATGTGAAGTCAGGAACATATTGCTTTAAAAAGAAATAAATATATGAACTACAGAAATAAGATTTCTAGAACATATTGTAAAGTGCCATTACATTAAATTCAGACAGCATATCTACTGAGTTATAATTAAGTGGCATAGATATATTCAGACTACAAAATAAAAGAAAGAGAAATAGTATTTACAGCTAGTGAATTTGCATATATAGTTCATCACAAGAGTAAGAGATGTGAAAGGGCTCTAGCCTCTCTAAGGTGAACTCATTATACACCACTATTTATAAGGTATTTTATATATTTCACAGCTGAACTACCTTATTAAAATTTACTTCTAGATCTTTCATAAAGCAAAATTGAGAGAGACACTATCAAGGTCTATGGCTCAATATCTGATCTGTTACAGTTTTCTACCCTGAAGTGAAGATTGTTGAGGTTCTGTAAGGAAAATCGTGCACTAACAAAATATATTGAATTATTAATCTTTTCTTTTTCTAATTTCTATGTTCCTGAGTTACTGATAGTTTTTGTTTTTAAAAATGTAACACTCCATTACAAATAGATTAAAATACTTAAACAGACCTCTAGACTTACAAGATCAGACTATTTTGTGATTCTTCTGTTTACTGCTATCACTTCAGCAATTACATTAACAAATACTTATTTTTTTCCTGGAAAGGTGCTGACACCATCAATAACGCCAAAAGACAACTATATTTTAGTATAATAGGACCCTATGGTACCTGAGAGAGCTCCACGCTCTTTTAACTTAACTGTAACTTTATACTCCAGTCTTAATGGCCATTGGTACAATTAGCATCCTTCCAAACAATACTGGACTACTATTTCCTCAGGAGCTAGAGGACACAACTCTAACTGAACTGAAGGGTTGCTGATGGAGCAAGGTCAGAATCTGCCAATATTGGGAATAAAGCTAAAAGGAAAGCTTGTTGTAAAAAGGGAATTTTGTTGAAGTGAAAACAAAGAAGTAAAAAAATAAAATTCCCAAGTGACAAAACATAAACAAAAAAGTGTTCCCAACTCTCAGAGCTGAATAAAAAAAAAAAAGAGTAAAAAAAATTGAGAGTCATTTAAGGGAATACATACTAAGATTAACAATGACAGAAACATATAGACTAGGTATAGACATTCAAAAAGCCCAAGAAGGAATCTAAGTTACACGGTTTTCCATAAGCGGTGTAGTTTAGATCGGTAACGAACACAACACACAGTTGCTCTTTGGTGCAGGGGGCAAATCTTAGACCAGGTTCTGATGTTTATAAACAAATCCATGTATGCCAAATTTTTGTTCTGTTACAGGTATAGGCCAGTTTCTCATCACTTATATCAGGTAAAAGTGTAAGGTCTGTACCTGGCCATAAAGTTCTTGTACAAGAATATATTCTGTAGTGTTCTGCACTGGTTTAAAAGCTTGCAGCATAAAATAAAAAGTAACAAACCAACATTTATATTATTGCTGATTTTTTTGAAGGGAGAAAGTTAAGATAGATTTCAAAAGAAAGATGCTACACTTAAAGAAAATTAGTACTTAAAGTAAAAAAAATAAAGCAAATTGAGTAAAATGACAAATCACACAACATTTTAAGAGGCAGAGATAAAAACAATCCTATGATCAGAGTACAACTATTTGACTGCCTTTTCTCTTCCTGAAATCATCTCCCTCATTCATTATATACCATTCAACTTCTACAACAAGTAAGGCTAGAATTGTGCAGATGGCACTATCATCCATAGCTCTGATTCACATTCAGAGCACCTTCTACCACATACACTGAATGAAGCAGGGATCCTATGAAAAAATGGGATATAATCATGTAACTAAAGGCAGTATCCAAATCCACAGATACAAGGTACCAAATGAAGGCTCTAGAGGAAGTCCTAATTCAGGCATTTCTAATTCTTGAGTGCTTGCCTTTACAGCCTTAGTGCTATTTTAACATAGTCTGCTGTTTGCTTAATTGTCTATCTTTTTATAAAAGCAAACTAAAAATAAATTCCATCATGTGGAATCACACTAACCCATACATGGGTCATCAGTAGGGATGGAATCTTTATATCTGCAGCAAAGATGTCAACCACTTGAACTAACAGAACAACTGGTAGCAAGCAATAGGCTGATATCCTCTGACCAGGCACTAGAGGGAGAGAAAGACATACTCTACTAGTGAGTTTCACAAATATTTGCTGAAAACAAAGAGATGTTGAGGCTCAAAGAACAGGTTTGGAAAGGAAAGTGCTCCATGTTTAAAGGTCCTACTTTTTCTCCTCTACCAGCCTGTCACCCCACCCCATCTCCCTTTGTTCCCATCCATCACTTCCAGAAACCATGGTTCTAGTTCTATTCTTCCTTGCTTACCTCCTTGCCCCCTGACCTTCAGGTACCTCTCACTCCCTACTCCTATCTACCCTATTACCCTCAGATATCTGCCACATGCTGATGAAGTCTCCAGACTTTTTTTCTGACCAACTGTATCTTATAATACAATGATGATATCATATACTGTGACACAACTGTTGGACACATTTAAGTCTTTATTCTCAGAACTATGATTCTATAAAGCTTTAAAAATATTTATCTCTAATAAAAAGGCATATTATTATAAATTATGCACAATTGTCTAGTTTTGTAAAATGTAAGGATTTAACTATAGGTATTATTATTGTAAACTGATGTTTTTGGGCTCAACACCAGGGATCTTGTTTTTTTCTGTTTAAAAATTGCAATTCCTACAATTTAAAATCCCCAAATCCGCAATTAAACTGAAACACCACTATATATATCAATTACAATGTTTTATTGATATATTTACAATTGTAAAGCAATTTGGAAGCCTACCAGTGCCTGAATCACTATAATAAAATGCATTCTAAATACCTGTACATTTTGGTATTTGTTTTTGGGTTTTTTTATCATGGAAAAATCAGAGCTCCCCTGCCTCCAGGATGCAAGTCCAGGTCCCTCACTCCCAAGCCACAGCCCCCCCAGCCCTGCTGGGGCCCGTCATTCTCCAACTGCAGCCCCCCGCACTGCTGGAGGGGGCTCCCAGCTACCAGGGCCAGGGGGTCAGGGACCTGGGTCTACAGTCTCCTGCACCCTGCAGCAGCTCCTGAGCCCCGGCTTCCATCCGTGGTAGGTGGCAGCTGCTGTGGCCCCAGTGGGGAGTGTGGAGCCCAGCTCTGCCTCCCTTGTGGGCAGCACTGCTGGAACGGAGCCCATGGCAGGGGTGGGTGCGGGGTGCCCAATGCAGACTTAGGCTCTGCAGCCTGCTGCCTTCTCCGATCAGGGCTTCTGTGGCCCAGCAGGTGGGACCTGGCACGGCAGGGCAGAGCAGGGCTGGGCAGGGAAGCTCGGTGATGCTGCTGAGAGCTCTGTGCTGCCCGGTGAGGCACTGCCTGCCCACCTGGCAGCAGCAAGGGGTACAACTCCGTGCTGCCACCCTCACCGCTGCCGGGTAGATAGGGGGCTTCACTAGTATGGCATGGGGCTTGCATCAGTAAGAAGCTTTCCTACCTGGCCCTGCTCTGCCCTGCTGTGCAAGGTCCCACCTGCTGGGTCGCAGAGGCCCTGGGGGGAAGGCAGCAGGGTGGGGAGCCAAGCCCAAAGCAGGCAGCCTGGCCCCAACCTGTGTACAGACCTTGGGGGCACATGCCCCCAAAGGAATGTGTGCAGCGGTGGGGAGCCAACCCCCCACCCCACCTCCTGGATGAGCCACCCGCTCCATCCTGCTCCCCGCTGAGGCCCTGAGGTTGTGGATTCTGGCCCTGTGTCCCAAGCAGCACCCCAAATGGGCAGCATCCCCAGCCCTGCCCAACTTACTCAGTCCCTCCGTCCCTATGGGGACCTCCATCCCTCTTCCCCTCCTGCTAGACTTACCTGCAGGAGCTGCTGTCCAGGGTGCCTGGCATTCATATGCATGTGTGAGCACATATGCACATGGTGCCCCACTGCCTGACCATCCTCCTCCCGCTCCCCCCAGCCCCTTCCAGGCTGGAACTCTGCCTGCCTGCCTGTCTGCAGAGAGCTCTTTGCAAAAGTGGAAAATCTGTGTGTTTCTCTGTTAAAAAGAAAAATCCACATTTTTCTTGGTTAAAAGGCAAAAACTGTGTTTTTTTCTTTTTTTTCTGCAGGACATGGAAACCCTGCTCAACACTAACAGAAATCTAGCCCCATAAGTATCAACATCATAAGAAAAAATATTCCAATTTAAAATTATATTCCTTTTGTAACAGCAATTGTTTCACTGCTGGGAATTAGCCAGCTATCTCTGAAATATCAATTTTTCTTTCCTTCTACAAAAACCCGAAATTGATGTATGTAAGAAGTAAAAATGCAAGTTTCCTAAATAGTATGTGTAAATATTTCTTATTTTGTTGGAAGTGCTTCAAATATCAAGGGAAAACACATTCTTATTTTTTTTTAACATATGGAAGTTTTAAAGATACACTGTAATTCCAAAATGTTATTTTAACAATTTATTATGTGTATATAGTTTCACACTCACTCTTAAGAATATGAACATAGTAAACTCTCTCTCTGCATATTATATTTATGAACATTTAGCTTAAGTGTTTTGTCTTTCCTACAATGAAGATCCAAGACACTTATAAGTCCCTAAATATTCCATGATACTTTGAACTTTAGATACTGTCATCTAAGTCAGGACAGTCCAACTAGTAACTTGTGGGCTGCAGGCAATCACCAAAGGGTTAGCATGTGGCCTGTGGGCTCCTGCCCGACCACCACTCCCGCTCTCCTCCCTTCCCTGTTCTGTTGTTTCTGCCAGAGCAACTGGGTTCTTTGGGCTTCTCCTCCCTCTGGCTTTTACTTCCTGGCCTTGTTTCTGGAGATAGGGGAGGGCAGCATCAAGGGGCTGGGGTGCCTGAGTTTTGTGCATGGTGCTGGGGAGGGACAGGGTGCCCATGCTGCATACAAGGCAGGGGAGGGATGGGCGCTGCTCATACTGTACACAACAAAGAAAGGAGTCAGACTGCCACACTACAGGTGGGCAGCACACAGGGCCGGGCGGG